AAATATATAAGATTACTTTTTTAATATAAAGTTCTTAAATAAATAAGGCTTTAATTATTTTATTACGTTTATAAAGCTCGAGTATTATATAAAAACCGAGTTAAATTAATAATTTTATATTATAGTAATTTTCTTTTATATAATTATTTTAGTAATTATATTTTTATATAATAATTATAAATATTATTATAATTAAGTTTTAGTTTAAGAATATAAAAGCTATTAATTTCTAGCTTATATTATAAAAAAGTACTAAATTATAATAAACCTGGCCTAGAAAAGCCAAGCTATATAAAAATAATTTCTTATTATTATAATCTAAAGTATTAAAAAAGCGAAATATATATAAATAAAAAGTAATATAATTTGAAATTAAATCTTGCTAATCTTATAATTTTAGGAAAATAATAATAACTTTTCTTATTTCGTATTAATAAGTAATATATAAAAAGTTCTTAAATTTATATTTAGATTTTAAAGGTTTTTTTCTTTTATATTATTTAAATTTGGGCTTATTATATTATCTAATATATTATTATATAATAAAGGCTAATATTAGCTATATTCCGTTTTAAATTACTTATTATACTTTAAATTACTATATATAATATTAAAGGTTCGAATATTATTATTATTTATAAAAGCTATAACTAATAAATATTAATAAAAACTTTAACTAAAAGATATATAAAAATATTTATAAAAAGTTTTATAAAACCATTTATAAGAAAAAATAATAGCTTATAATATTATAAAAAACTAGTATAAATCGGCTAATTTAGTACTATTTATATTAATTTCTTTTTATATATTTTACTTTTCTTATATTTTTCATTTTCTAAATAATTATATTTCTATATATAAATCTGGTTTTATAAAATAAAAGTATATATTTTAATTAGTTTATAATAATAATTTATATTAATTAAATAAATAATTCTTATATTATTAATAAATTTTAATTTAAATTATTAGCTTACTAGTAATATATAATATTATAATATTAATATATAATTCTCAAATTTACTAATTCTAATAAAGTCTAGTTTATTAATCGAGTTATTTATAAAATATAAGATTATATAATTATATATTATATTTTATATCTCGTTTTTCGAGTCTTATAATTATATATATAATTATATTAATATAAATATTTTTTAAATATTTTAATACTTATAAATATATAATTCTTAAAATTACTTAAAATTTATTTAAAATACTACTTTTTAAATTATTTTTATTATTTTTTATTAAAAACTTTTTCTTATTTAATAAAAGATTATATATATTTCATTTAATAAAATAAAGTTTTTATAAAAAAGTAATAAAAAAATCTTAAAAAATTTAATTTTAGGAAATTATTATAATATAATAATTATTCGATTTATATTTTCTTATTAGAAATATAATATAAAATCGAGGCTTTAGATATTAAAAAGTTATTATAATATATATAAAAATATATTAGATTTAAAAAATTCAAAGAAATATAAAAGTAATATAAGTTTTAAAATAATAAATTTTATTAAAAATATAAAAGAAATTTAAAGCGAACTTTATTTTAAAAACATAAAAATATATAAATAATATAATAATAGAAATGGAAATAAAATATATATTAAATATATTTATTACATTTTATATTTATATATATTTATTATTTTTATTTATTAAATATTTATTATAATATTATAATTTAATCTATTTTAATAAGAATAAAAAAATTATAAAGCTATTTATAATTAAAATTTATACTTGTTTTAATTAAATTAATATTAACTTTTATAATAATAAAATAAAAGATAAAATTAAGAAAAGAAAAGTTAAGAAAAAAAAATAAGATTATTAAATTATAAATATAAGAAAGAAATAATATCTTATATATATATTTCGGTTTTTTTATTTATATTTATAAAACTAATTAAAAAATATTAAATATTAGAATCTTATATTACTTAAGTAATAAATATAAATATTTCTTTTTATATAATATATAAATATAATATCTAATTAGGTTTAATTATATTATAAATATTTGTATTTATAAGAAATTTTCTTAATTTAGCTAATTTATTTCTAATAGCTTTTAAGGCAAATGAATTCTGAGGCTTTAATCTTATTATTAGACTTGAATTCTATTAAATTAATAAAATAATATTAGCTATAACCCGGTTTATTAAATACTTGAGAATAGAAAATATATTATTAATTCTTAAATTTATTATAAATAAAGATAATTATTAATATAATCTCGGGTTTTAAAAGAAATATAAATATAGTAATAGTATTATTATTAAGAAAAGAGAATAAAGAGAATTTAAAGAACTAAAAATAAAAGAAATATTTGAGAATATTAATATAAAAAATGACTTTAGTCTCGAAATTATTATAAAGAATATTATATTCGAGATTACGGAATATAATATAATTATTAATATCTTTATAATATATAAGATAAAGATTTAGAATATATAATAATTATAAGATAATATATTATATTTTTAGAAAAGAAAAGAAAAAGTATTATTTTAAATAAAAGCTTCTTAATATAATATAATAATATAACTAATTATCTGAAATTGAATTAAAGTTAATATATTAGAAATTAATAACTAATGCCTTAGAATTTAGTAAAAATGCTTTAGTATTAAAAAGTAAATAAAATTATTTATTAGCTAATTACTTAAATCTTTATTTACTTATTTCAAAAAAATTAATTTTTAATTTTAATTTTATTATAATTATAAATCCTTTAATATATTAATATAATATAGTATTTTCGATATTCTAATAATTATATATTTATTTTAATATTATAATATGGCTAGAATTACTTATTAATATTAAAATTTGATTTTTTTAATATATATTTAGCTTATTAAAACTTTTTAATTTAATTCTTTAGATTTTTAATATTTTTAATATTTTAGATTTTTTTATATATTTGGCTTCTAATTTAGTTTTAAATTATTTAATTTCTATTTATAAAAGTTTTATTTCTTATTTATTTCCTTTTTTAATATTATTTGCCTTTTTATTTAATTTATATTTTCTTAGTTTTTTTATTAATTTAAATATTAAATATTTATTATAATAGCTTAAATTATATTATTTTAAATATTAGTATATTATAATTAATTATAAATATAATAACTTATTAGAAGTAATATTAAAGAAAGAATTATTTAATATATAAATAATATAAGCTTAAAAAATATTAATTTAAGTTTTATTTCTAATTTCGAATTTAAAAAACACATATATTTCTTCGATTTCTTAGATATAATTAAAGAGATTAATATAAATTCAGATTTTAAGGCTAGTAAGCTTATATTAATAATAATACTTCTTTTTTTCTAATTACTAATAGCAGATTACTTATAATAATAATTATTAAGCTTTTTAAATTTATTATAATATATTATATTTAATAAAATAATAAGTTTAAATAAAAAAAAAGCATATATATATATTAAATATAATTATAAAAAATAAATATATAAGAAAGAAAGAAACCTAAAGAGAATTTAAAATATAAACTTAATTAAAAAAGTAATATTTATTTTAATCTAATATAATTATATTTTAAAATATAAATTCTAAATTCTAAATAAAATAATTAGCTAAAAATATAAGATATATAATAAATATTAACTTAAAATAATTCCGTAATATAATATTTATTACTATTATAATTTATTTTTAAGGCAATAAAATCAAATTAGTTTTTATATATATTTTTTAGTTATTTTCAAATTAATTAATTATCTAATATTTTTTTTATATAGCAAGAATTCTAGTATATCGAGAAAAATAATAAGTACTTTAACTTTAAGCAATTCAAACTTTATATATAATTAATATTTCCTATGATTTCTAAATAAATTATATATTATAGCTATTCTTAAATATTTGAAATTTCTTTTACCTGAAAATTATACTTATATTATTACCTTTGCATTTAATTTATAAAAAGTTTCCTTTCATAACATAATAGAATTCCTTTATTATAGTATTACTATTAAGCTCTTTTTATCTTTTAAACTTATAGAAGGCTTTAATTCGAGCCTATAAGTTCTATTATAATGCTTGGAAGCAATAACTAGTAATATCTTACACGTGGCATGAAGTTTCGCTATAAAGACCAGTACCTCCAATCAGAACAAATAACCCCGCATGTCCTATATAATAATTAACTTATAGTGTAATTTAACTTATGTAATATTGAGTTACCCAGCCTGTGGCTGCGCGTTGTCTTACCTCTCCTGGCCACATTTCTTTACCTGATGCGGCAACGCTGTGCCGTATAGAGTCACAACATCTAGAGCGACCGACAAATCCCGGTCGATTAAACGTACATCGTTTGGGAAAGACTGCCTTCCCCCGCCGCCCCTCCAGCTTTTTTGCAATGATTGCTCTCGAGTGTGCTTACTGTGAAAGACTCACTCATTAACCCACTTGTAAATTCCCATTCTCGCTCATAATACTAAAATTAGATCCTACATAATGCCTGTCATTTAACAAATCATTCCCTCTCGGGGCAAAGAATTCTGGGACGCGCTTGATCCTGATAATATGAAACAAGTGCTAGAAGTCATCAAAGAGGAGGTAAAAGTCGCATGGCAGGCTCACGATACAGAATCTAATTTCAGTTCAAAATCAGTTCAACAGACCAGAGCCGGCGTACGAGCTTCATTACCTTAATACCATGTCGAGGGACCTCCCGATTGGAGACAATAAGCCGTGTTACCGCGATTGCTTGATATTCCTCCTCCGCAGTGAATTTATTATCAAAGGTCGGGGACGAGTGATAGAGACTGGCTGCACGTATCGCGTCAAGGACGAGGCTTGGCTTTAGCTGTGTGGAACGACGACCATAGCTGTTATAGAAGAAGGGGAACAGAGAGGCGAGTGCCTGAGATCGACGCAAGAACCGCGGGAATTAATACTACCCGAGAGGGGTGGATCCAAAAAGGTGAGGAAGAGAGCTAAGAAACTGCTAGACAAAAAGTTACGGGCAATAGCATCTTCGGCACGGCTTCAACGACCGTGGTAGTGGTCTCGCTAGGTATTGCCTCAGATCGCACGTCTTCTCTCGCCTAGTTTCATTATGAATTTGTATAATGCTCTCGTCCATATCATCTATGCCAGAACTGAGATTGTTTTCATGCCTTTGGCCTCGACTTCGACTTCACCCAAGCAACACTAGCCCCCGCGGATGAAGTAATCGCGCCACCCACAACCTGAACAACCGGATATACCGTCGCCACTCCATATCCACCTGCGCCTGCGCTCTGCAATGTCGCAAATAGGGAAGGTGATACAATGCTACCGATGCTGCTCTGGATAGTGGCAGCAGAGGACCCTGGAACGGAGACGGTGTCAACTTGTGTGATCATAGATACAGATATACCTGACTTGTATAGGGGAAGACAGGGTGAACACACCTGCAATAATCCCGTCTACTCCGAAACCTACGACTCCCAGCCCTGGAGCTGCCACCGACGCCGGCGCGACAACAAGAACCAGCCCGACTCCCGCGGCACCGCATGAAGCGGCTGTGCCTGGGTTGGCGGCCACCCATTTCGCGCCTTGGACAGTCGCTTGCGGAAGGGTCTCTGTAACTAATTCTCTGGATTTCTCAGCTGCGATGGCCAGAACGCCGGGGATGTTGGCCTTTGACACGGTGTTGTGGATCGAGGATACAAGGGAGGTTCGACTAATGGCTCCGGCCTCACTTGTTAAGAGGAGAGTAAAGATCTGGGAAAATTTCATCTTGAGGTTTTCTTAGGTTTGATCTTATGTATATATTATTGAGTCGGGATTAAAGAGATGTCCCTTCGAAAATTGGGTTGAAGTCTGATATTTGTGAGACCTTCACGGGCAAGGCTCTGAGGCAGCAATCGTGGGGGCACGTGCATTCGAAATTTAGCTGAAAGCTAAATAACAAGGTTCTTCGAAGGGAGAGAGAGTAGTGGGTTCGGCCTTTTATTATTCCGTGCGGCCCAATTTTTAATCCGTTCCGGATTCCATAGAAAGTCACGTGTGTTGCTTCCTTTTTAACACAGCGTTTCTGTTTTGTAACCAAAGTCCCTCACCAAAACACGTTTTCACGATTTTTTATTTCTCTAATAATTAAATAAGTACAAATCCGTTTATTATAAAATTTAAAATTTAATTATATAGAATAATAACTTGGCATATTAATAATATTAGATTTATAATAATTATAATAATTATAATAATTATTAAATTTATATTTTTATATATAAAAGAATAAACTTTTAATATAACTTTTAATTAATATATAAATTATTATAAAGCTATATATTTTGTATTTAAAATACTTATACTATTTATAATATATAAAAGATTTTTTATAAAAAGTATAATTTCTGTAACGGTAGAAACAGAGTAATGGATCGAGGCTCAAAGATTAATAATTCCAATGTCTTAAGGATTTAAAGCTAAGGAGGACAGGAGTGAGGTGTGGTAGTGGATAAGTAGGTATGGCCAAGACCACTGAAACGCCGAGCTTTGGAAGCGAGCTTGGAACCTTAGCTGAAACCAACCCCTTTGGCTGAAACTAACCATGTAATACCAGCCGTTACAATTTCTTAATAAAATTTAAATTATTATTAATTTTTAAGTTTCTTATAAAATATAACTTAATAAAGAACTTATATTTAATTCCTTTAATTTATTTATAAATAGTATATATAATAAAGTTATTTTAATTTTGGTTTTTATTAAAAATATTATTTATATTTATTTATTAAAATATATATTTTAAAGTTCTTTATATAAATAAAAGTAAATATAAATTATTTTTATTAATAATATTTAATATAATACTCATTTTTATAACTTTTATAAAAAAAATTATATTTTATATTAAAATTATTAAAGATTTAATAAAGATAATATTATACTATTATTAATTATATATTAAAGAAATATATAAAATTAAAATTAAAAGAGTTTTTTATTTTTTTATTAAATAAATCTTTTAAAAATTATTATAAAAAATTGAATTATAATAAAATATAAAAATTAATTAATAAAAACATTTATAATTAAAATCTTTAATTTTATAATTTTTTTCGCTTTATAATATTATATAATATAAAAGATATATTAATATTAATATATTAAAATTAAAATTATTAAAAATTAAAATTTATAAGATATATTTATTATCTAAGTAATTTAATATTATTAGTAGGCTTTATATACTTAGGGAATCCTATATATTAAAAATAAAAGGATTTTATAAAGTGGTTACTTTTTGATTAGTAAAAGTGTTTTTCTTAAGCGCATGTTTTAGTACGGGACGTGTTTTGGTGCGGGGAATCGGTTACAAGTCGCTAGCGAAACTGGCTTCCCCTCTGCTAGTACCGAGGCCTCCAACCCCTGTACTGCCAAAACCTTGATTTTTCATGACATTTCGCATTCGCACATTGCACTTAGCATTTGAGATTTTTAAATAAAGTAATTATATAAATTCCTATTAATTCATTTAATTCTTTATTAAATTCTCTATAGATTTGTAAGGGCTATTTTTAGAAATTCTTATATAAGTTATTAAATTTAATATTTTATTAAATAAAGGAAAAGAAAAGTCGAGGGTATACGAGTCGGAATATACGAGCCTTCGGGATATACAAGCCATTACGGCCGCTTTACGGCCGCTTTGCTTAAATCTTACTAGGGTCTTCTCAAAAATCTTTCTCTTATATATTAAGCTTATTAAAGCCCTTATTACTTTTATAATTATATAAATTATAATTAATATATATCTAAGAATTTAAATGACTATAAAAGGTTATATTTAAAGATCTCGAGAACTTCAGAAATAGTTTCAAATTTCTAAATAAGAAAATAATATTAAAGAAAGAACTTCAAAATTTAATAAATAAAAAAATTCTAATTAATCCAAATTAAAGAAAATAATTAGAAAAGTATATAAGCTATTTGCAAGCTTATAAATATCTTATATTATAAGTAATTTATTATATAAGAAGTAAAAAGTAGCAAAAAAGTCAAGTGCAATATGCGCAATGTCATATGCAATGTCATTTCGGGGTTTTAGCAGGAGCATCGCTATCGGCCTCGGTAGCTAGGGTTCTCAGCCCCACCTCACTAATTCGGTTAAGTGTTGACTGCTCAATATCCCATATTTTGAGGCCTCTAGGGCATTGCCTCACAAGGCTCATTATAATGTCTACCATCTTTGGTGCGAGGATATCTTTTCGCTGTCCTTTTTGCTATTCAACCAAGTCTTTCAGCAGTATGCAATGCTCCCGCTCCCTGAATGATACTGAGCGCCTAACGTCGTTTTGGCAAATCCAAGGCCATCATACTTCATCGAGAAATCCCTGCAGCTCAAATTAGATGTATTATGCACCTCTATCTACTTAATAATATCCTGCATTCCCAAGCCAATTGCGTCTCTATTCGAATTATTACGCCACTGTTAATACTGGCTTACTAGTTTGGGTAGTAATAGGGAATTATATAAGAAAGCTAGCTTTTTCTATAGTTTTTAATATTTATTTATCTTTTATATTAATTAAATTAAGCTTTTATAATTATATATTACTTATAATTTATTACTTATATACTCATTTTTATTATTTTGCTATTAAGTCGCGTTTTATATTCTAATATACTTTATATAAGTTTTTGTTTTATTATAATTTCCCTTTTATAATACTTCTTTAAAAAATCAATTTCTCTAATAATTTTTTAATTATATTTTTATTTTATAAATCTTTTTTATATATAAAGAATACTTTTTATTTATTTTAGATTATTATTATTAAAGATTTAAGAAATGCTTTAAAACTCAAGTTTTAGTATTTATAAAGAAATAAAACTTAAATATTATAAGCTAGGCCTTTATATAAAAAAGACTAGTAATTTGATTAATTAAATAGAATTTTCTAAGGAAAAAATAAATAAAAAATAAAAGAAGCAAAATTATATTTCTTAAAGTATTTGAGCTTTTTAAGTAATATATAATTATTTTATTAATTTAAGAGATATATTATATAATAAGAGTTTTGGCTTTTATTATATAATTCAGTAAAAACTTCTAATTAAATATATAAATCGAATCTTAACTTATTATATTATTTTCTTTTTTATTTATAAATACTAGCCTTATAAATATATAAATAAAACTTCTTTTTATTAAATTACTTTTTTTTAAACTTCTAATACTATTATTTTTTAAATATAAAACACGGTTTTTATATAAAGCAAATATAGCCTTTCTATTTTTAGATAGCTTTTTTAAAAGTTCTTAATTATATTTTATATGCTTTTTATTAAGAATTCATTTAATCTTATATTTATCTTTATTTTTTATAAGCTATAATTATAGCTATAAGTTATTTTAAAACTAATTTAATAATAAATCTATTATAGCTAGCTAAAGAAGCTTATTATAAAATATATTATAAATTTCTAAGAAAATATTAAGCTAAAAACTATAGCTATTTATTGCTTTAATTATTATATATTTAATATATTTAATATTAAGTTTCTTAATTAATTTATTTATTCGAATATTCTAGAATTTAAACTAAACTTTATTTCTAATCTTAAATTTTAAAGCCTAGTTTTTCTTTTAGTTTATTACTTTCTTTTAAAAATTATTAGGCTATTATTATTATAGCTTATATATATTCTCGTATATTATAAAGCTTATATATAATATTATTTATTATTTAAATAAATAATAATTATTTATTTTTCTTATTAATTTTATTTTAAAGTTATATTAGCTTAATATAATATTTATAAAATAAAATAAAAAAGGCTAATTCCTATAAATAAGGCATTTTAATTATTAATTACTAGTTTAATATATAATAAAAAAGTTATTTAATTCTCTTAATTATAATTTATAAAAATATAAAAAAAGATTTTAATTATTTAATTTATTCTTTTTATAAATTTATTTATTTCAGAATAATATATTATAAATAATTAATAAATAATATTTAATAGTTTATATATTTTTATAAACTGCTTTTCTTAATTAAAAACTATTATTTTTTAAAAGCCTATATTAGTAATAATAAGCCTTTATAAATTACTTTATTATTATTTTTATTATAGTATTTATTATAATCTCGAGTATTATTTCTTTTTCTAAATAATTTATAATAATTATTATATTAATATATTTTTTATTTAATAGAAATTCTATTATAAAATTAATTAAAATCTTTTATTAGATTTAATTCGAAATAAAAAAGGCTTTAGAACTCCCTAATAGTAATTTCTTTATATTTTATTTCTTTTATAAATATTATAGTTTTATATAACCTAATATATTTATTTTAATATATTTAGCTAAAAGAATTATTATATAAAGAAAATACTTATAATATTTTATTTTAAATAGCTATATTAAATCGAGTTATAAATTTATTAAATTAGCTTTATATAAAGTTCTTTTAAATCGAGAACTTATTATTATTTTCGAAAAAGAAATTATTTTAATTAAAATAATAAGTATTTTTTAATTAATATTAGTATAGCTATTTCTTTAGGAATTATATATATAATTACGGGACTCGAGATACGGAATATAAATAATAGAATATAGGATACGGGATATAGTTATATGATCTCGTATTTCAAGAGTAATTTAACTAGTAAACTAGACTCTATTAGGCTTAGTAGATTTAGGGATTATATATTAATACTATAATATATAATTTCTATTTTAGAAAAATAATAATTTTACTAATTTTATATAATAGTACTATATATTATAAGTAAACTAATACTAATTAGTTTATATATATAAATTAGAGGAAAACCTAGCTAGTCGGAAAAGTATTTAATAGCCTAAGATAAATAGTCTATTTCTAATTAAAGAGAGGAACTACTATT